AATCCTCACCACACCAAGATATCTGGCCAATGCAGATTCGCCGAAAAATGGAAGCTGCCAGATAACTTTGGCCAGCCGCGCCCGGCGGGGCAAGCCGCTCCTGCGGCGCCAGCCGCGGAAGCGGCTCCAGCCGCAGAAGCGGCGCCAGCCGCAAAAGCGGCGCCGGCCGCGAGAGCGCGCATACGCGCGCCTAGGCCGCCACGGCCTGGTGAGGGCGATCCAACCGCAGGCGCCAGCAGCCATGACATCACCAGAGCCGACGGGGCTAATGGTGGCAACAGTGGCGCTGGCAGCTCTGACGATCACCGTAGACTGCCACAAGTTGCAGCAAGGCGCGGACGCATGGAGGGAGGAGATCCTCCACCACCGCCGCAGCCTCAAGCAGAGCCGAGGCCAAGGCCAAGGCTCCCTGATTGGACTCGCTTCGACGTTCAGCTCAGCCTCCAAAACCTGCGCAGCTTCGACCCAGCTGTAGTGCAGCGAGAACTCCGCAAACTCCACCTGAGATGGTTTCATGCCAAGGAGCCAAAAATGCGGATGATTCTAACCAAGGTTGGTCTGGGTGAAACCCGTTTGAGTCTGATCAAAGGCATTTGTGACTCGTGTAGAGAATGTCGAGCCTGGGACAAACCAGGCAACACGGTGATGCCTTCTGTGTCACTGCCAGGACGTTTCAACGAGGAAGTCGAATGTGATCTTTTCTTTTACAAACAGGAACATATTGTTTTTCACATCATCGACCGTTGTATTCGCTGGGCAGCTGGCACAGAGATTCCTGATAAAGCCATGCATACTGTTCTCGATGCCTATCATACGACTTGGATGCAACATGGCCCTGCTAAAATCTTATACTCCGATGGGGAAGGAGCACTGAATAATGATACAGCAAAGGCCATCCTTAAGGCTAAGGGAACAGAGCTTCGTATTCGAGCGCGTGGCCAACACGCTACAACTATCGAAGCTAGGAACGGCATCCTGCGACACCTCTTACACGTGATGGGAGAAGAATTGAATAGATTAAATATTCCTCTCAATTTCACTCGTCTCTTACATGAAGCCTTGTTTGCCAGCAACGCATTTACCTTCTACAATGAAGTGTCTCCGTACAATGCGCTGTATGGCAGACAACCAGCTATGCTTCCCGATTTCCCTGTCTTGGATCATGATCAGTCCGCTGAATCATCAGATCACTCAAGGGAGGAAACAATCAGGAGGGTTAGTCTGGAGGCAATCACGCAGGCCACTGCGGTTGCCAAGACGAACAGGGCTCTCCGTACGAAGACTACTGCTACGGGTGAATTTCACTACAAAGAGGGAGATCTCGTGGACTATCATCGCCCGACCACCACGAAAGACGACTGGGGTGGATGGAGTGGTCCATACCCGGTCATCCGCAACGAACCTGACCGAGGCCAGGTCATCGTGAAGGTCGGCAGTCGCGAAGTGCGAGTACAGTATCCTGACACACGACACACGCTGTACATCGAAGCACTTATGGTCCGCGAGATAGGATCGGACAATACGGCCCTTCGGACAGTATTGGCCTTTATTGCCGGTCTGCCAGCGGGGAAACCCGCCATGACTTTCGGATATCTACCAGCGAAACAGGGTCGGCTGCAGATGACTGCTGCGAGCCGACTTTCGCCTAAGGTGCACTTGGCTCTTCAGTACCTCATACGCAACTACTTTCGTATTGAAAACGTTGTTGCTGTACGACTTGCCAAGAGCCTGACGAAGTTGCCTGCTGCACCCTATGCAGACAGCTGTACACTAGTGCACTATGATAATGATGTGACCCCTGGTTTTCATTACTATGAAGCTGATGGCACTGCCTTGAACATCTATGACATCACAGGATCTACACACTCACGCATCATCCAGTGTCTTAAATCCAGGAAGCCGTCTGCTGGATTTGACCAAGACCTCACTAAGTTTGAGGAACTCGCTGATGGTCCACCACCAAGCGAATCACCTCCAGCAGCTGCTCCTGAGGAGCCTCCTACGGATAACGATGGTCGGCTCCCGACCATCATAGAGGAAACAGAAGAAGATCTGGATGCTTTTGTCTTGAAGTCGTGGTATGCTGAACTGATGGATGACAGAACACTCCTTGAAGCTGACACAGAGGAAGTCATGCATACAGTTCCCACATACATGACAGACACACAGTGTGTGTTAGTCTCTACGACCTGTGAAGATGTGCAAGGCCACTTGCCGGAGCGGGGTCACCCGCCAGGATACGACATGGACACTTCTTACTACGTTCCTTTATGCTCCACGGATCCGGATAGCAAATATGATCTGGACTCCGATGAGCACGGGAAGTACATCGAGCTCTGCTTCACTGCAGACATGTCCAAAGTCGTCCTGTCCGAGCAGCAACACCGATTGTTGGATGACAGCAGCGTCACAACTATGCGAGTATACGTTAGCGCTGCCTCCAAACGTGCCGTGGTCGTCAAGGAAGACGATCTACTCACGAAGGCCGACATCCAAGCAAATCCGGTCAAAGTTTCCAAAGCCCTTCTACACAGAATTGAAGACTTGGCTTGACAACAAATGCTTCCAGATGACTGACTTAAGCAAGGCGTCTAACATCATGACGTCACGCTACGTATACAAATGGAAGTTTGTCAAGAACGAAAAGGGCGAAATGGAAAGGACGATCAGGTTACGCTTGGTACTCCGTGGCTTCATGGACCTTGAAGCCTTTGATGTCGAAACCTTCTCTGGCACGGCAAGGAGGTCAAGCCAGAGACTGCTCGCAAGTTCTGCTGCATGCAACAAAGCTTGGATCATCGCTTCCCTGGACATCAACATGGCTTTCTTGAAGGGACTGACCTATGGCGAGCTCGCCGCGGCAACGGGCGAGAAAGAGCGTGTGGTGTGCTTCACACTACCACCTGGGTCAGCAGCTGTCCTTCGCACACTGCCAGGCTTTGAGTCATATGACGAATCAAAGCATTGTCTCCGGTGTCTGAAACCGGGGACGGGCACGAAGGATGCTCCCAGGGCATTCTCGCTGAAGCTCAGGTCCATCACTAGGAGCTTTGGGCTACAGCCTACTTCATACGACGAAGAGTTCGAGATGAGCCCAAACCTCTTGACAGCCAAGCACGTTGATGACATCAATATGACTGGGAAGGAAGAGGCTATTGACAAGTATGTCAAGTGTGTTGAAGATACGTTTGGGAAGTGCAAACTGAACAAGCACACATACACAAACTGTGCCGTTCGGTACAACAAGACCGATGATGGGAGCGTCACTCTCGATCAGGACGAATACATCAAACAGCTTCGTCCTATCACACATCCAGAACTCACAGGAGCTGATCCTGAGAGCAAAGCGACAAAGACGATTTCTGATATGTTCGTCAGTCTTCGTGGCGCTCTAGCCTATGCGTTGATCACGCAGGTATGGCTGATGGTCTATGTTGTCTCACTACAACGTATCCAGGAACCGACAAACATCCAGGTACGACGACTAAACGCGGTTACCAGAAAGCTACAGGCAGGTCCGAAGAAGATCGTGTATCAAGCTATGACCCCAACAGGAGAAGTCGACCTGCATAGCGATTCTGGCTATCGTCGTCTCAACGGAGATGAAGACGACGAAGTCAAAGGCTATGGTATCCGCGGGGCTAACCTGCTGAGGCGTGGCCACACGCAAGCGGGGAAACCCGTCGTGCACCTGGTGGACGCATACTGCAAGTCTCATCGACTGCAGGTGCGTTCGAGCTACTCTGCGGAAACACTGGCAGCAGCCCACAACTTGGAAGACTGCTACCCGACCATTGTAACGCTCCACGAGCTACACTCGGGACCATTGACCCCCACACAGTTAAAGAACATATTGGAAATGGGTGGTCTATGTATCAAAGTCACTCTGACTATTGATGCCGAGTCTGTCTTCAAGTCTTTGTCTAGCAAAGATCTGAAGAAGCCCACAGAATGTACTCTGCTTGGGCACATCAGCTGGATCCGCCAGATGATGGAACGCGGAATCGTGGAAAGCGTCCAATGGTGTGACACGCGGGATATGACTGCCGATGGTCATACCAAAGGTAGTATTGACCGCGCGTTGCTCCTACAAGTAATGGCCGGCCAGCAATCCTTCAAGCACGAGCTGAAGAAACATACGCCGTATAGGGCGGGCAGGTCGTCTCAGGACGGCCCTGCCTCCCGAGCCAGCGGGGAAACCCGCGGGCAGGTGCGCTTTAGTAGCGAGGAAACTCGCCGGTAGCGAGGCTACTCGCGCGCCCTTTCCTTGTAGGCAGCCGCTGCTGCTTAGCACTGTTTTTTCCGCATAATGTAGAAGTGCGGTACCTGCTCGTCTCCTCCCCCTCCGACTTTAAACGGAGAAGGTTAAAGGCGAGGTATAAATCGAGCATGTACCGCTGCCGTGCCTGGCTCAAGCCGGGCCCGGCCAAATATATGACTGTGCCTCACTGAGGCGCACGACTTGCATCAGAGATCGGAAAATACCTTTTCCATTGACGATGCCCATCCTATCCTTTACTCCAGATCCCATGCTTCGTCTTGCACTCTTGCTCATGCGATATGAGCCAAAGCCTGGGATATGGCAACGCTTAAAGCGTAACACATACCTAAGCTTACCAGTGTGTTTTCGACTGAATTATGGTCTCGGGAGCGCGAGCACAGTGTAATTTGCGTTGTTTATGGCCTCGGTGGCGCGAACCTAGCGTCATGCCTCTGGGAGGCTCTTTGTGGCCTCGTGGGGGCCTCTGGAGGGCTTCTTCGGGTCGTTCTGGAGCGTCCTTGTACGTTTTGGGAGCTTCTTGAGGGCTTCTTGGGGTTCTTGGGAGCGTTTCGGGGGGCTTCTTGGGGGCGCTCTGGGGCTTCTTGGGGGCCTCTGGGGGGCTTCTTGGCGGCGTTTTTCCTGCCCCGAGGGGGTTGGGGCTCAGGGCCCCTCCGTCCCTCGTGGCTCCCCTCCTCGCGGTGCCGGCCTCCGTGCCCGGCCCAGCCCGCGCCGGCGGCAGGCATCACCGGCACCTCCTCGGAGTTCGAGCGCCTGATGCAGGACACCCCGCCGGAGGCCTCGGCTCCCCCCCAGGGCTCGCCACTGGTTAAGATTTCCTTGGCAAGGCTCGGCCGCCACGGGCGGATCTTTGAACATCCGCGGGTCTTGCGACATGCTCCAGGGTGGCCTGGGTTTCCTGGGTTTCGGTGGTTTTGCTATGGGGAACGTGACGTTCCCACGCCAAAAATCGATGGCCGTCCTGGGGTCTCAGGGTTGGATTTCTTGTGCCAGGTTTCTTGTGGTCGGGCCTCCACTGCAGGCATGGGGGGCGACGCATCGACCCCCAATCGCCCATTGATCGCCGATAGGGGCCTGATAGCCCCAACCTGCCCAGGAAGTTGCGGATTCATTATCGGAGGCCTATCGCCGATCCATCGGCGATGTATCGCCGATTCCAGGTCGATGTTTCCGCCCCTATCCCTGTCCCCCCTATCGTTGCCCCTCAGGGAAGGCCCTCCCCCGCTTCTCCATCCTCTCGCTTCTCCACCCTCCCGTCGGCGGCGAGCGAGGGGGGGAGAGTGAGGTGATGACGATGACGAGGCCGATGTCCTCGTCATCGTGATCGTCATCGTCATCGCAAAGGCCCTCTCGGAAGGCGGCGGGGCTTCTCAGAACCCCCCCCGCCAGTTTTCTGCGCCCTCGGGGAAGGCTCCGAAAGCTTCTCCGCAGGCCGGGGGCCTCCCGAGCCTTCTGAGGAGGCCCGCCCCCTCTCACTTCTCCCCCAGGCGCGCCGCCGATCTTGCTCCCCCCCCCCTCACATCTTTTTGCGTGCCTCGCAACTCCTGTACATGTGCTTGTTTTCGGACGTACAGTCGGACCAGATTAGTCGGTCGACCCTGCAAAATCAAGGGAACCCTTGTGTCCTGTGTCTGGCGACCCATGCGTCCTACATTCCTGTGGCAATGTGGCCCTCGGAAGGGTCTTGTGTCCTCTCGCGTGTCCTGTCCAGTCGAGTCCGACTGTACCAGATCCAAGTGGCTGTGGCCTCCCCCACCTGGTCTTGGTATTCCCGGACAACTGTCCGCTGTGGTGGTTCGTTCGTCCGTTCCTTTGTTTACTCTTGAGCTCCCCCACGGAGGTGAGAGGGGACGGAGGCGGTGGGGGATGATGCGCCTCTACAGCATCCCGACTTTACCCGATTCGCTCGATGTAATACTAAGCAGAAGGCAGAACGACCTAAACATCTGCCTTCGTAACTCCTCACAGATTTTTCCGATCTGCGCTGGACCCCCCCGGCGCCTCCGGCGCCGTCCCTGGAGGAATGCGCGCCAGGGAGGGCGGCCTGGCGCCGATCCAAGGAACCCGCGCGGAGCTCCGGCAGTATATGATTACGTTGTGTTCTCTCCCTGTTTTTCTGCTTCTCCTGACCCCTTCCTCGTCTGGGCGCCTTCCTGGGACCTGTTCGTCATCCCGGGCAGTCTTTTGACGGTCCTGGGGCTCGTCAAGGACCACCCGAGGCCCACACTTGTCATGCGTCTTCCTACCAGGTTTGGGGCGGCACACGGCCTAGGAGAGGTCAAGTCTCATCGGGATGGTGGGACCTGTCACTGCAGCCGCGCTTCTCGAGAGCTCTCCGGGGCGCCGTGCCATTCGGCGCAGCCGACGTACAAGCGGAATGACCCCCCTACTTGGCCGTAGACGCGAGAGGGAAGGCAGAACATGTGCGACGCGACAGAGAGAGGGGCAGGCAACCATAGCCTCTGGCTCAAGCGAGCCCAGCAGCAGAGGCACAAAGAAGCTCACCCCCATCCCCAACACACCCACCACTGGGCACCGCTAGGCGGGCCCGAGGGATGGGAACGGGGAAAGGACAAATCTGCCCTCCACCTTCGCCTGACGCTGAGCTTTAGAGCAGCCTCGAAGGAGAACGAGGGGGGCAAACGAAAACCCGCACCAACGCGCAGCGTTAAACGGGCGTGAGGGACGTGGTTCGGCGCTGCTGCTGCAACCGCGCCCCCGTCTGGTGGCGGCGGCCCTGTGGCGACGGCGGGAAGCAGCGGGAACAAAGAGGCACTTTCGATGGAAATCCCCACCCCGTCGTCGAGTGGCGCGGGGACGGGGGCCTGCGCGCCCCGTTCTCGCCTCAGGATGCAGTAGCAACGTCTTGCGCTGCATATGGCGATTCGGCTGGTGCCGTGCGAGAATTGGCTGGGGGTGAATCATCATGTAACCTCACTGCTGGTGCTCAAAATCCTGGCAGACGAGCTGGGGAAACCAAGCCCCGAGTCAGATCTCTTGCGACCGGCGGCAGGGTTTTTCGATGATGCCCTGATCTGGCAGATCAGGCGTACCTCGCCAGCAAATGCGTGGCAAACGTCCGAAGGAAACGTGCCACGGCCGACCTTGAAAAGGCGGTGTTGTTGCGCGCTGTTGGATATTTTTGCGCGTGCTGGCGACGAGAGCACAACGCCCTGGGAAAAGCTCGCGCCCGCGCGCAGAGCAGCAGCGCGACCAGGAGAGCCTTGACGCACAAGAGCACGCGACGGAGCTGAAGGCATGTTTGCACATCGTGGACGCAGTGCGCCGACGCAGCTGCGCCAACGCAGCTGGCGTTGCGACCGCACGCATGACTGCGGATCGCCGATTGGTGATTGGGAACCGGTCCAGGCTCCTGACCGAACTGTTGGGTCGCAAAGCGCGAGTGGCGAGCACGGTCAGACAGCATTCCCGGCGGGTCCGGCGATTCATGACGCGGTTAAGGCCGTGCGGCCGCCAGGTTGCATGCGAACTGAAGTGGCCGCTGCGAGACGAGCTGGTCTTGACCGCCGTGACAGAATTACACGGACGCAGCTTCAACGAGAGTGCAGGCGGAACCGTTCGCGCATCTGGCAATGGACAGACTCCATGACCGTCTGGTGCGCACACAGGGCAGAAAGATGGATCACAGGTTGTTGCCTCTGCCTCGGGGATCCGCCCTCCACCCTTGAAGCTGCAGGCTGCTCATGCGAACGTGAGCAGCGCTCTGGCGAAAACCGCTTTTTGAAAACCGCCCGCCCTCTATCCGCGAAGTTGTTGCAGATTTCAAGCTTCGGAATCAACGCCGGGTCCGCCCTGCGCACACGTTTGGGGATGCGACATGGAGGAGTTAGTGGTTTTCGAAAAGGGTGGAGTAGGAGGAGGAGGAAACGGAGCTGCACCCTTGGGAAGGCCCAAGGGCTTCGGGCTCGAGCCACCTTGAGCCCCTGCTTCGCCTGGTCTGCCCCAGGCGAGGCTGCGTCGCGATGTCCGCTGTCCCGCTTGCTGTCTTCTAGCTCATTCGAGCCTATCGTGATGCCGCCCTGCCAGGTCTGCTTGCGCCACGGGGTCACGGGCGAGGCGATCCAGGGATCGGCGTTCTGCGCGGCGCACGGTGCTGCGCACGGCGTTGCGCGCGACGATGGCGCGGCGGCGGCGGTCGTCAACGCCGGCTTGACCCAGGGCGCCGCGCGTCTCGACATCGACGACGGCGGCATCGAGGTTGACGAGGTGGGGGCCGCCGGTCTTGCGGCACCAGCAGCAGTCTCGGCAGCGATGCCGGGGGTGACCATGATGGAGCCTGCTGGTCTTGCCTCGACTACTTTCTCGATTTCTGACCAGCTCCTGCAGGAGTGGGTGGAGGGGGACATTTTGCAGCACTTGGATTTCGTGCAGGCGTCCGCCCTCGCGCAGCCCACCGCCGCCCAGGTGGTTATCAAGTATCCCAACACTTGAACCACCTCAAGGACATCGAAACACGCTTGGCCTACGACTCAACGGCCCTGGATCCTTGGCGCCCACTGGGGCTGGCTCTTCTCGAAGGTCCAGATCTTACTGAGCAAATCGTGACCGCTAGGGGCCGCGCGGCGTCGCTCCTGCGCGGCATTTCCGCCGAGGTGGGCTGGTCGGCGGACGACGAGGCCCAGGCCGTCAACGCAGCGGCCGCCTTCAGTTGGCTGTCACCCACTGTCTGGAGGAGCTCCCCATGGTCATGACGGAGCGCCGCCGCTGCAAGGCCGCGCGGCCCCCGCTGTGGAAGGAGCTGGGCTGGGGCGGGATCGAGTTCATCCGCGACGCGGCTGTAGATCCAGAGGAGCTCTTAGCCACACAGTGGTCATCCATGCTGGGTGGGCCCCCGCTGGCAGGGGGTGCGCAAGCCCGCCTCAGGACCCTAAAGGGGATGACAAGCTCTGGGACCAGACCAAGGGCCTGCACCTCGTGTTGTGGGTCCCCGAGGACGGGAACGCGACTTCAAGATGCTTATCTTCGCTGCTGCGGCGCCCCTCCCCCGAGCAGTGACCAGCGCCCCTGCGGCTGGTGGCTCCGATCTCACTCCTGCCCGGCATGGGCTCCGCGCAGGGCATCACCGACCTGCGTTGGAGCCCGCTCCTGAGCGAGAGGTGGGCCCCCTTGGTCCGGGAGTGCGCGTTCTCCGCGTGCCCATTGGAAATCGTCACGCCTGGGCGCAGTGGACCTCGTCATGGTCGTGCTGGACTTGCCATCTTCACGATCTCGCACTCTGGTTCACGGTCCGTGCCAAGAAGGCTGGAGTTCAAGGCGCCGCTGTTGAGGATCGCAGCGGTTCCGATGGCCTACGTGGACAAGGTCGTCGATTTCCTGCCCTCCTTCATGGGCCCCCTGCAGGCTGCGGGCGCCCCAGATCTGGCATGCCGCCACCCGCGGAAGAGCCCGGGGAGCTCAGCTGGGATGCCGCGTCTTTGCGTCGACCTTCTGTTCCCGAGTCACTACGCGACTCTTGACCAACTACCTCTCCTTCGCCGCTTGCGGAGTGCCATGCCAGATCGCACCTACTACGGCCTCAAGTCTTTGTTTGAGGACCCCGACGCGCCCATATTGGAGGTGATGTCTTTTGCGTGCTTCCGCCACTTCTGGCCTCTCTGCTCGCAAGCGCTCTTCCTTGGGCCCGGGCGGATCCTGGTGTGCGCCGACGCCGCCGCGCAGCTCTGGCAGGAGAAGATGGATGCAGCTCTCGCCTTCGACCTGGACTCGGCGGCAACACGGTTGAAGTGGGAGCCATCGCGCTGCGGGGGCCGAGCCCT